TCTTCGCTCCTTGATCCTGTGTTTCCTGGTCCTGTGTTCTCGAGTCTTCTTGGTCTTTTGTTCCTGTGTCCCCCTGGTCCTGCGTTCCGGTGTCCACCTGGTCCTGCGTTCCTGTGCCTCCCAATCCTGTGTTCTGGTTCAGTGTTCCTGTCATCTGCCTTATTACCAATGATCCTGACCCTGCAGCCTCATTCATTTGTCCTGCTTCAGGCTTTGCTTCCCACCTATTTCTAGTGGTGGCTGCACAATCCTGCCCAAGTACTTTACTTACCAAAGGACTGTTTAAGTATACTTTGCCTGCACTAATTGTGGTTATCTTGATTTTATGTATATATTATTCTGTGGCATTGTATATATTTATTTTATTGTTTTGTTCTTATATCCTTTGGTTCTCTTTAATATATATATATATATATATATATATATAGACACGATGAATGGATGAAAGGATTAAAATCAAGATATATATATATATATATATATATATATATATATATATATTTCTTGTTTTGAATCCATTCATCGTTTCTTTGCATTATTTCTTTGCTAATTTGGTTCCCACATTTAAAGGCAGCACCCCTTCCTGTCCTTACACCAACATTATAGGCATACATAGATATGGTATGTAGAAGAGGATACAGATATAGCTGACTGCCATGATGAATATCTTTGTTCAGTATTTACAGATGAAAATGAAGAAAAAGGACCTCAGTTAGGAAAAAGAACAAATTAGTCATTTGTTTCATGTGAGTTTCAACTGTCAAAAGTAAAGACAAATAAGTAAATGGGAAATACACCCTAAGCTATTAAAAGAGCTTAGTGATATACTAGCAAAACCATTAAAGGATTTATTTAACCAATCATTGTTAACAGGAGTAGTCCTAGAAGATTGGAAGTTAGCGAATGCTGTGCCCATTCGCAAGAAAGGTAATAGGGAGAAGTCAGGCAACTATAGGCCAGTAAGACTTACTTCAGTAGTGGTAAAGTAATGGAAACCATGTTAAAGAATAGGATGTTGAACATCTAAAATCACATATGGATTTCAAGATTAGAGACAACATGGATTTACTTTATTGATTATTTTGATTTGGTTACTAAAAAATAGATCAGGGTGGTGTAGTAGACATTGCTTACCTAGATTTCAGTAAGGCTTTTGACACTATTGCACATTATTGTTATTATTATTATTATGATATTTATATAGCGCCATCAAATTCAGCAGCGCTTTACAATGGGTGGAGGAACAGACATGTAGCTGTAACCAGATAAGTTGGACACACAGGAACAGAGGGGTTGAGGGCCCTGCTCAACAAGCTTACATGCTAGAGGGAGTGGTGTAAAATGACACAAAAAGGTAAGGATAGTATTAAATTAGTGACAGTTGCAGAAGAGGAATCAGTCGGGAGCTATTAACAGTTTAATTGATACGCTTTTATGAAGAAATGGGTTTTTAAGAGGTAGGAGAGGTAGGAGGAGCACCAGGATAGAGCAATATCTTGTAGACTGATATTGCAGAGGATGAGAAGAAGCTGTTGATGATCAACAGTGTCAAAAGCCGCAGACAGGTGAAGGAGAATTAGGATAGAGTAGTGAACATGAGATATTGCAGCGAGTAGATCATTGGATACTTTGGTCAGTGCCGTTTCCACAGAGTGCTTAGCGTGGAAACCAGACTGAAGTGGGTCTAGCAGAGAGTTGGATTCGAGGAAGTCTGTCAATCTTGCATACACAATTCTTTCAAGGATCTTGGATGCAAAAGGCAGTAGCGAGATAGGACGATAGTTGGATGGGGAGTTAGGGTCAAGATTGGGCTTCTTTAGAATTGGGGTTACAGTTGCATGTTTGAAGGGCGATGGAAATATACCAGAGGAGAGAGAGAGATTGAGAATTTTAGTGAGAGATGGAGAAAGAGAAGACAGAGTACGGATGAGATGCGAGGGAATTGGATCTATGGAGCAGGTGGTGGGGCGGGAAGACTGGAGCAGAGCAGAAACCTCTTCCAATGTAGCGGGTGCGAATGAACATAGAACAGCAGAGGGAGTGAAGTTAGGGGAAGTATTGTAAGGGGAAGAAGAAAAATGAGAGATCTCTTCTCTGATTGTAGAGATCTTGTCAGTGAAGTGAGTTGCAAAGTCTGAGGCGGTCAAGTTAGTAGGTGGAGTATGAACAGCAGGGCGAAGAAGAGAGTTAAATGTGTGAAATAGTCGTTTGGGTTCGCGGGAGAGTGTGGTTATGAGGGTATTGAAGTAATTAAATTTTGCAGAGGAAAGAGCATAGAAAGCTCATCAAAAAACTGAAATCTTTGACTTTGGATTTCAATATTGCTGAATGGGTTAGGCAGTGGCTGAGTGAGAGACAAAAGAGGGTTGTAGTCAATGGAGTATATTCGAAGCAAGGTCTTGTAGGGTACCTCAGGGATCTGTACTTGGACCCATTCTCTTAAATATTTTTATTAGTGATATTGCAGGTCTTGATGGTAAGGTATGTTTCTTTGCTGATGATGCTAAGATATGTTACAGAGTTGATGTTCAAGGAGGGATAAGACAAATGTCAAATGAATTAGGTAAACTAGAAAAATGGTCAGAGCTGTGGCACCTGATATTTAATGTGGATAAGTGCAAGACAATACATCTTGGACGTAAAAACCCAAGGGCAGAATACAGAATATTTGATATTATTATTATTATGATATTTATATAGCGCCATCGAATTCCGCAGCGCTTTACAATGGGTGGATGAACAGACATGTAGTTGTAACCAGACAAGTTGGACACACAGGAACAAAGTGTCAGGGTACCTGTTGGTGCTGAATCCAGGGAAGACATCCTCTCTGTTTAGGGGCTCCCTGCCCCTAGCATTTCGGCATATTCCGGCCGTTTTCGCGCCGGCCGCGCTAGCTCCTCCCCCTTTTATGACGCGACAGCTAGCGTCGACGTCATGACGTCGGCATTTACATGAAGTGCCGGGAACCGCTATTCCGGACCTTTTTGGGGCGTGGTCTCTATTTAGGTAACAGGGTATTTAAAGGAAACCTTTACTACTGCTCATTGCCCTGTCGTGGTTCTAGCTTGCTAGTCACTCAGCGCGTTCTTTATCTTGTGTTTCCGGTTTTGACCCTTGCTTGTCTTTTGTCCTGTTGTCCTCTCCTCTCCTTTGACTCGGCTTGTATCTCGCTTACCTGTCCTCCGGCTCCCTTGACCTCGGCTTACCTTTTGACTATTCTTGCTTTGTCCTTACGTTAGTCCGGCCATTCTAAGGTCCGGTATACGTACCTCCTTCTGTGCGCACTCTGCGTATTGGATCCCTGTCAGTATCCTGACATTACGACAGGGCCAGATGGATCCTGCAGGTGCTAGTCCTCCTGACCCCAGATTTGAGGCCATGGACCATAGAATGGACCAAATGGCTTTAGCATTACAAACTTTGTTAACACGCTCCAGCACCCAGTCTGAAGAAATACGTTCCACTGCTAGCCACTCGCTAAGTACTGGTTTGGAAGTAGCCACTGTAGGCGCATCTTCCCATGTCACTTCACCGTTACGATATGGGGGTTCGCCTGATGCTTGTTGTGGTTTTTTAAACCAGATAAGCATACATTTCGAACTTCAACCCCGGGCTTACCCCACTGACAGGGCTAAAGTAGGCTTTATTATAACCCTGCTAATAGATAAAGCACTTAGATGGGCCAATCCCCTTTGGGAGAATGACAATCCTTTAGTCTACAACTACACTGCTTTTGTCACGGCTTTTAGAAGAACCTTTGACCCCCCAGGAAGGAAGATTAATGCGGCCAGATCCCTGTTACGCCTTAAACAACAGAATAGGACCCTTGTAGAATATGCTCTAGAGTTTAGATCATTGGCAGCAGAAGTGAAATGGAACGAACAAGCTTTTATGGATGTATTCTTGAATGGGTTGTCTGATGAAATTCTAGATGAAATTGCCACAAGAGAACTTCCGGAAAATTTAGAGGATTTAGTATCCTTCATTTCCAGAATAGATGAACGCATGAGACAGAGGCAGAACACTCGGGAAAGAGTTACTAGACTTCCTGTAAGACTCGCTCCCTCATTTCAGAACCCTGACTCCTATAATCCTACTCCACCAGAACCTATGCAAATAGGTAATACTCGCTTATCTGAGGCTGAGAGACAGTACAGAAGAAGGGAGGGTCTCTGTTTATACTGCGGGCTGAGAGGTCACCTACGCCTTAGTTGCCCTAATCGTCCGGGAAACGCTCGCACCTAAGTTCCCTTAGAGGACGGGCCTTGGGTGTTTCATTACTGTCCTCTATGCATAATAAAAAAGACCATAGGCTTCTGATTCCTGTCTCTCTAGCTTGGGAAAAGGGGTTTATTTCTACGATGGCATTATTAGATTCTGGAGCAGCAGAAAGCTTTATAGACCAAACTTTCGCTAATAAGCATTGTATCCCATTCCAATTGAGAGATACACCCTTGGCCGTTGAGGCCATAGATGGTAGACCTTTATCTGAACCAGTAATATTCCATGAGACCGAACCCGTTAAGCTTACTGTTGGTATTTTCCACGAGGAGTTGATTTCCCTTCTGTTAATTTCCTCCCCGGCAGTCCCAGTGGTACTAGGATATTCTTGGCTCAAGAGACACAACCCTCAGATTGACTGGGAGGGTGGAGAAATCGTTTCTTGGGGTATGGGTTGTAGGAAAGAATGTCTGCAGAGAGTTACTTCTGTTTGCCCCGTAAACTCTTATGCTAACACTTCCCAATCCACAGACGTTCAGATACCATTACAATATCTAGACCTCAAATCTGTATTTGACAAGGGTAAGGCGGATACTTTACCTCCCCACCGGTCTTATGACTGTTCTATTAAACTTTTCCCTGGTACTATGCCTCCCAGGGGTACGGTATACCCTCTATCCACCAAGGAAAACTTAGTTTTAGAGGAATACATCAAGGAGAATTTAGACAAAGGATTTATTAGAAAGTCTTCTTCTCCGGCGGGGGCGGGTTTCTTTTTTGTAGAAAAGAAAGACGGTACCTTACGTCCTTGTATAGACTATCGGGGATTGAACAAAATTACTATCAGGAATGCTTACCCTATTCCTTTGATTACTGAACTCTTTGACAGACTAAAGGGCTCGAGTATTTTTACCAAACGTGACTTGAGAGGAGCATATAACTTGGTGAGAATTAAACAAGGAAATGAATGGATGACAGCATTTAATACCCGTTACGGGCATTATGAGTATACCGTAATGCCGTTTGGGCTTTGTAACGCCCCGGCCGTCTTCCAAGACTTGATCAATGAAGTTCTTAGAGAATTCCAACATGAATGTGTAATTGTATATTTGGATGATATACTAATCCATTCTAGAGACATTAATTCACATCATAGACAAGTCAGAAAGGTATTACAGAAACTTTTACAACATGGATTGTATTGTAAATTGGAAAAATGTAGCTTTGACCAGTCTCAGGTAACTTTCTTAGGTTACGTAATTTCCAAAGACGGGTTTATGATGGACCCGACCAAACTAAAATCGATTTTAGATTGGCCTTTACCTAAGGGACTCAAAGCCATACAAAGATTTCTTGGATTTTCTAATTATTACAGACGTTTTATTAAAGGGTACTCCTCTGTTATCGCTCCTATCACTAATATGACCAAACAAGGAGCCGATACCAAAACCTGGTCTACTGAGGCTTTATCTGCTTTCGAAACGCTCAAACAGTCTTTTGCCTCAGCACCTGTATTAGTTCATCCTGATACCTCTCTACCCTTTTTACTTGAAGTTGATGCGTCTGAAACAGGGATAGGCGCAGTGTTGTCCCAAAGACAAAGTTTAGATAAGCCGCTGCACCCTTGCGGTTTTTTTTCCAAGAAACTATCACACACTGAAAGGAGATATGACATTGGTGATAGAGAACTTTTAGCTATCATTATGGCATTAAAGGAATGGAGACATTTGTTAGAAGGCACTGTCCTCCCAGTTACTATCTTGACTGACCACAAAAATTTATCGTATATGGGGGAGGCCAAAAGATTATCTGCCAGGCAGGCACGTTGGTCTATGTTCCTTACACACTTTAATTATATGCTTACTTACAGGCCTGGTTCTAAGAACACTAAGGCAGACGCTTTGTCACGTCAGCACGAACCTATCACCTCTACAGAGGACACTTTGTTCCCTATTATTCCTGAAGTCAATATTATCGCCAACACCAATGTCAAAATACACTCTCCATTGCTCGCTGATATTATGAACGAACAATCTCTTGCTCCCGAACGTACTCCTGTGGGCCGCTTGTTCGTGTCTCCCAAATTCCAAGTGGACATTATTCGCTGTTTTCACGATAGCAAGTTCGCTGGTCACCCCGGCATCCACAAAACTTACTGCCTGATCTCCAAAGACTTCTGGTGGCCCGGTTTACGTAGGGATGTGGAAGACTTTGTCAAGGCTTGCAATGTTTGTGTCAGGAATAAACTTCCGCGGGATCTCCCTTGTGGTTTATTGCAGCCCTTAGTCGTTCCCAACAAACCTTGGGCTTGTTTGGCTATGGATTTTATTGTTGATCTACCAGCTTCCAGTAGGCATACGGTTATCCTCACGGTCCTTGACAGGTTTACTAAAATGGCTCATTTCATTCCCTTGCCTAAACTTCCGTCCTCTCCTGAACTGGCCGTGATATTTGCTAGAGAAATTTTCCGTTTACATGGTATTCCCAATGAGATTGTGTCAGACAGGGGTTCCCAATTTATTTCCCGTTTTTGGAGATCCTTCTGTTCCCAGTTGGGCATCAAACTGAATTTTTCTTCGGCCTATCATCCTCAATCTAACGGAGCAGCCGAACGCACTAACCAAAAAATTGAGCAATATCTACGTTGTTTTGTTTCTGAACACCAGGATGACTGGGTCGGTCTGATTCCTTGGGCGGAGTTTGCTCACAACAACCTTGTTTGTGGTTCCACTCGTAATAGCCCCTTTTTCTTGAACTATGGCTTTAACCCTACTGTTCTTCCGTCGGTGTCTCCTTCCCAGGGTATACCGTCGGTTGATATTCATATAGCCAACCTGAGAAAGTTGTGGGATCAGACTCGACAAATTCTTGCACGTAGTTCCGCGGTGTTTAAATCACATGCTGATAGGCGTAGGCGGCCTGCTCCTATTTTTTCTCCGGGTGATAGGGTCTGGTTGTGTACCAGACACATTCGCCTGAAAGTTCCTTCCTTGAAGTTTGCTCCTCGTTACATTGGTCCTTACAGGGTGCTGAGGAGGATCAACCCGGTTTCTTATTTGCTGGATCTACCTCCTACTCTACGCATCCCTAACTCTTTTCATGTGTCTTTATTGAAACCTCTTGTTTGTAACAGATTTTCCTCCCACTCTGCTCCTCCATCCTCGGTCCGTGTGGATGGTCAGGAGGAATATATCATCAAGTCCATCCTTGATTCTCGTATTTCTAGGGGGAAGCTGCAATACCTCATAGACTGGAAAGGTTATGGTCCAGAAGAGAGGTCTTGGGTTCCTGGTATAGACGTGCATGCTCCTCGTCTTCTTCGGGCCTTCCACGTTCGTTTTCCTTCTAAGCCCGGTCCCATCCGCCCGGTGGGCGTTTCTAGAAGGGGGGGTACTGTCAGGGTACCTGTTGGTGCTGAATCCAGGGAAGACATCCTCTCTGTTTAGGGGCTCCCTGCCCCTAGCATTTCGGCATATTCCGGCCGTTTTCGCGCCGGCCGCGCTAGCTCCTCCCCCTTTTATGACGCGACGGCTAGCGTCGACGTCATGACGTCGGCATTTACATGAAGTGCCGGGAACCGCTATTCCGGACCTTTTGGGGGCGTGGTCTCTATTTAGGTAACAGGGTATTTAAAGGAAACCTTTACTACTGCTCATTGCCCTGTCGTGGTTCTAGCTTGCTAGTCACTCAGCGCGTTCTTTATCTTGTGTTTCCGGTTTTGACCCTTGCTTGTCTTTTGTCCTGTTGTCCTCTCCTCTCCTTTGACTCGGCTTGTATCTCGCTTACCTGTCCTCCGGCTCCCTCGACCTCGGCTTACCTTTTGACTATTCTTGCTTTGTCCCTACGTTAGTCCGGCCATTCTAAGGTCCGGTATACGTACCTCCTTCTGTCCACACTCTGCGTATTGGATCCCTGTCAGTATCCTGACACAAAGGGGTTGAGGGCCCTGCTCAATGAGCTTACATGCTAGAGGGAGTGGGGTAAAATGACACAAAAAGGTAAGGATAGTATTAGACTAAAGACAGTTGCAGAAGAGGAATCAGTCAGGAGCTATTAACAATTTAATTGATACACTTTTATGAAGAAGTGGGTTTTTAATGATTTTTTGAAGGAGTGGAGACTGGGTGAGCATCTAACAGAGGAGGGAAGCGAGTTCCACAGGAATGGTTCAGCCCTCAAGAAATCTTGAAGGTGAGCATCAGAGGTGGGAGTATGGACAGAAGATAGACGTAAGTCTTCAGCAGATCGTAAGGGCCTAGACGGGACATACTTGTGTGTAAGGGAGGATAGATAGGTGGGAGCAGCATTATGTAGAGCTTTGAAAGCAAGAACCAGAATTTTAAATTGAGCTCTATATTTTCTAGGAAGCCAATGTAGGGACTGACAGAAGGGTGAGTCATGGGAGGTGCGGGCGGACAGGAAGATGAGCCTCGCTGCCGCATTCATTATGGACTGTAACGGCGCAAGTTGGGAGCACATAAGACCACTGAGAAGCGGATTACAGTAGTCAAGGCGAGAAAGGACAGTGGAATGGACCAACACCTTAGTCGCATCTGGCGTTAAGTAGGGGCGGATGCGCGCAATGTTTTTGAGATGGAAAAGACAGGATTTGGTGATAGATTGAACATGAGGCTTGAAGGAGAGGTCAGAATCAAAGAGAACACCTAGGCAGCGAGCCTGTGTGGTGGAGCTGATGGTAGCACCATAGAATTGGAGGGAGACAGACACAGGAGTAACATAACTTGAGGGAGGAAAGACCAGAATTTCAGTTTTGGTCAAGTTTAGTTTAAGGAAGTGGGCAGCCATACAGTTAGAAAAAGCACAGAAGCAGTCAGATACACTAGTCAAGAGGGACAGGGAGAGATCAGGAGAGTACAGGTAGCTTTGCGTGTCATCTGCATAGAAATGATATTGGAAGCCAAAGGAGCTAATGCGTTTACCAAGGGATAGAGTCCTAACCTCAACATCTGAGGAAAGGGATTTAGGGGTAATTATTTCAAATGACTTTAAAGTTGGCAGACAATATAATAGAGCAGCAGGAAATGCCAGCATAATGCTTTGGTGTATAGGGAGAGGTATTAGCAGTAGAAAGAGGGAAGTGCTCATTACATTGTAGAGAACACTGGTGACAAGATGAGGTTAAAGGATCTTAACATGTATAGCTTAGAAGAAAGACAAGACAGGGGGGATATGATTGAAACAATTAAATACATAAAGGGAATCAACACAGTAAAGGAGAAGACTATATTTAAAAGAAAAAAAACTACAACAACAAGAGGAGATTGTAGCCGTATTAGTCCAGTGATGAAGATGTAAAAAACAGATAAAATGTGTATCTTTATTGGTGTGGCAGAAATGCCTCTGCCACATGCTCCTAGAGGAGGTTGCTTGCCAGCTCCCTGCCCACAGACTATGGGCCCTGCAGGGAAACCTGTAAGAGACTACCAAATTTGACTGATTTCATTGAACTGTTTTGGGCATAGGACCCCTGAACCGATCTGGGTGATTTTTGGATATGTTGGTCACCTAGATCGGGGCTATCAGGGGATGTAACTTTTGTTGGGGTTTTGTGTGTTTAAATTTATTTTTGGTGTTTTATAAAAATGCGTGTTTTCTGTGTCTGGAGATAATTGAGTTTAATACAGTGATTTACTCAATTATCTCCCAGGCACTGAAGAGGGATTATCTTGTTTTATGTGGGAGGGTCCTTGACCTGAGAGCCAATGTAATTCTGTGTATGTTTTTACTGTAGACTACTCTCAGGTCCAGTGGGTGACCCTTGCATGGGGATCTGTATATAATGCCAGTTTTGGCTGCCAATAAATGAGTTCCTGCCTACCCTCAACATAGAGTCTCATCTCATGTGTGGGGGGGAACAGCTGCATCTGCTCTGGGGATTGCTATATCATGATGACCCCCTGGGCAATTGGCCAGGTGGTCTGCCACAATTGTACTAACATTGGAGGTTTTTTTAATGACAAGCTTTTGGGAGAACCTACCTTTCTCAAGTCTAAAGCATTTCTGAGCAAGACTACAC